TAACTTTTTTGAGATTGGACGATCGAGTTTGCACTAAAATTAGGGATGGAGTAGGGTCGATTGTAATTTTTATATCATTTTAGTCATCCAGTTTGTTTTAGAGTTGTAAAGTAATTTCGGATATCATGTGTTAGATGTATGTGATGAAATCCCTCTAATCCAAAGGTATCGAGATGATAAGTAAATGAACAGTTAACTGATTGAGCAATATTAAAGGAGTCAGTTCACGGGTTGAAACAGGCCATTGCGTTGATCGAAGAAGGTAATGCTGTTCTGGTTAGCCGTACAGAGCATCGTTATGTTATTGTACAGTCACATTATCAAGGGAGTTTGCTGTAGGACCTATTTTAGTCCTTTGCCTAGTAGTCATCTCGGTATGGTTTTGGAGGAGGTTATAGGGGAATCTGTAAGGAGTTGGCTGCTCTGATGTACATGAGCGTTAAGCCCGATAGATGCACACCCATAGCGATTCGCGGTCACTCGAGGACGCGTGATTTAAGCGGGGGAGTATGTCATCGGCCAGAAGCAGTGACACTTAATTTTGCCATTATTAATGCATTTAATTGGTAAATCGTAACGCTTGATTAGTTATGATGATATAAAATTCTAAGGGAATAAAACCACAAAATAGAGTTTGGTGGTAGTGAGGCTGTAGTTGTAGGTTGTGTTTATGTTAGAGGTGAAATACTTGTGGACGATCTTGGTGGTTACTTTAACTCGAGATAAGGGCCAAAATACCAAGTCGCCTTCTCAAAGTGCCACCTCAGCATCCATACAACCGAACAACCAGGCCTCTGTCTAGATGACCTGGCACCCCTAGGTCTAAAATTCCTGAAGTCAGTTCAGGTTGAAACATCATTGAGTGAAGGTGAATCGGTGTTGACTCCTGGAACTCATTTGAAGATACGGCGTGATTAGCCGTGAAAACTAGCTTAACTAACTAGAAATTAATTCTAGTATTAGGGTGAAGTTAGCTGTAGATTCCAGTTCGTCTTTTCCCCGAAGTTAGCGGAAGCGGGCCTAGGAACTATGGTCAAATTGTAAGTATTATTACTTAATAAATGTATAAGTTCTTTTCACACACAGTGTTTAATATTATCCCATTTTGTCATTCCTACATAATAGGACACTGAACAAAGGAGAGAACCACACCACAGAGATACTGGTTGGGTTGAACACAGTGGTACACGAAACAAAAAGAAACAACACTTATACTAATTAAATCACTTGGAGTACATCGACACGAGAAATACAATATCTATTAAATAAGAACCTATGTCTTGAAGAATAATGATATATATGAGTGAAAATATCAATGATATCGAGATATATGTGAAATAGAGTAATTTAATTCATTTTAAGGTTTCCAGAAATAGTGAATGATGAATCAGAATGATGCCATACTGATCTGAAGTTTTAATGAACAAAAATATTATTGAAACTATCTGAGATAACCTTTGATTAACTTACTAGAGTAAAGTAATAACGAAGATTTATGTTGGGGTAACACCCACATAACATCATTATTATTATTATTATTATTATTATTATTTATTATTATTTTATTTTTTTTATTATTATTATTATTATCATCATCATCATTATTGCTATTATTATTATTGTTATTATTATTATTATTATTATTATTATTATTATATTATTATTATATATTATTATATTATTATCATCATCATTGTTATTATTATTGTTATTGTGATTAATATAAATGTTACTTATTATTATTATTATTATTATTATATTATTATTATTATATTATCATTATTATTATTTTTATCATTATTATATTTATTATTATATTATTGTTATTATTATTATTATGATTATATTATTATTATTATTATATTATTGTTATATTTATTATTTATTAATATTTGTTATTATTATTATTAGTGTTTTGATTATTATTATTATTGATTTGATTATTATTATTATTATTATTATTATTATTATTATTATTATTATTATTATTATTATTATTGATTTGATTATTATTATCATTATTGCTATTATTGCTATTATCATTATTATTATTATCATTATTATCACTATTAATATTATGTCTATCACTAGTAGTATTAGTATCATCGTTACTAATATGATTACAATAACAATAATGAAATAACAATAACAATGGTTGTAATGAATAGTAAATGTAATAACGATAATAAAATGATACTTATGATAATGATACTTATGATAATGAGGACAATAATAATTGTAGTAATAACAATAATGGTAATAACTGCAATAATGATAATAATAATATATATCATAATTATCAATAATAATAATGTTATTACCATTATTATTATTATTATTATCATTATTGCAGTTATTACCACTGTAATAATGGTAATAGTAATATTATTATTATTGATAATTATGATATATATTGTAATAATTATTATCATTACGAGACCTGTACTTATATATTATTATTATCATTGAAATTATTATTAAGTACAGCTCTCGTCACTATTATTATTAAACAAGTAGTTGATGATGAAGACGATAATAATAATAATGATAATAATAATAATAATAATGATGATGATATTGATAATAATAAATATTATTATTACTGTTGCTATTATTATTATCATCATTATTATTACTAATGTTATCATTATCATTATCATTGCTATTATCACTGATGTAATGAATATTATTACTGGTATCAATATTATTACTGCTATTTGTGTTATTGCTATTATTATTACTATCATTATTACCATCATTATCATCATCATGATTATTACCATCTATTACTATTACTATGAAGATAGCTATTGCCATTACACATCAGATTATTCTTGGGATACATTTTTTTTGCAGCAATTTTAGTATTTGTAGCTATAGACATAACTAGGTCACCAAGGGTCAGATCAGCATAAGTAAGTCCCATACAAGGTTACCTTGTTCAGATCAGTAAGTGTTATTATTATCATTATCATGATTATTATTATTAGTTATATTTTTTATCATTATCAACATTCATATCATTATTGTTGTAATTGTCATAACAATTAATATTGTTGTTGTTATTATTGTTATGTGTTGTGACTTTTATTATCTGATCATAATGATGGTAATAATTGCTTTTGATTTTGTTATTACTACTGCTATTGACCTTGGAATTATTAGTATATTATCTCATAGATCCCTTCTTCTTGTAGCTGTTTAGTATTTTTACCTTTAGTATTGGTGATGCAAGGTCACCTGGGGTCAGATGTGCAACCGATCAAGAAATTCATTCCCCATTCCTCAAGGTGTTAAAATGACGTCGATAGTAATTCCTATGCTTCCACAGATGAACCAAAGCCTGTCAGCAACGTTGACGATCTTATTCGAAATGATGGTGATTGCCATACCGACCATACTCAGTCGCAATGCAGTTTTAAGAATGCTCAGAAAGCAAAGCCAATGCCTCTATCAATACAAAGGGCGAATCG